TGACGTGTCACGTACATGTTTCAGTTTTCGACGCAACTCGGTGCGGAATATGCGTGATTGTCGGCAACGCTATATACTGATATCTTCACCAAGCAGACTCATTCTACTCTGTAATATGGCAAGTGTACTGATTATGGTTTCCGGCAGACCGAGTCAACTGCACGTTTATACAAGGTATTGTCGTCATTTTGTTTTTTAGTTCGATTTCAGTTGCATTATTAAGCCTTTATATATGTTTTATTGTTTTGAATTCTGCTGGAATACATTATCTCAACATCTGTTATATATGAGAGCTACTAGTATATACGTCTGCCAGTGTTTGTTTTACTGATTGAACTAGTATTACGTTATTTTATCACTCCGTACATAAATATCCCAACTGACCGAAGAAAATGGTCCATCACCGATCAAACGAGTTTATTTTCTGAAGCTCCATTAAACAGCTAAATAAATTTATTAGCTTAATTCAATTTCATCGAATTAACAAAATAGATTGAATTAGTGTTTGACACCACATAAAGCTAATGTAATTTAATGTATGCAATAAAGAGTAGATTGATGTAATATATAATTACCGCTTTCCCAGGGGTTCACCGATGGCGACGTACGGAGTGTCTACGAGTCAGAAATCCCGAGAAGAAGTAGGTTATTGGGCTTATCATTGCTACGCGCGTGTGTTATGCAACTTATTTTGTGCAGATAAGCAATACGGCGATGGACATGGAAACAATATATCGGATACACGTACCATCAAGGATTTCTTTCGTAGGATACCTATCTACCGGTGGTAATATTGCTAAATATTGACACCCCGATACTTGTTATCTCAACCCTCATTTTTCTTCTATTCATCGATATTTGTTATCTTAAATCTTATCTTCCTTCTATTCAAACAGCTAAATAATTATGGGAATTATAAAACTCCGCAAATATCGTGGAAGTCGAACTTGTCAAGATGCAGGCATTGCGGCGCTCTTCTTCGTCATCGTCGTATCCTATTTGATTCTGGGAGCGTTCGTGTTCCGGGCGATTGAAACACAACAACATCCTGACAAGCTGAAACAAAACCTGCCATTATTAGAGAGGAATTCGTGAAAGAGTTACGCGGCTTGATGCAACAGATTAAAGATGCTAACATTACATATGGTGTTGTTGCAAATGAGTGAACGCTATCTCGACGACTACGAGAAGCAGATGGGTGTCAATGTAAACTAGATGCATCGAATGAAGAGAAATGGGAGATGCGATCAGCTATTATGTTCTGCTTGACAATAGTTAGTACAATTGGTAAGACGCTGTTTTTTTTCAATCTTATTGTGGCTGCGATTTGGCTGTAATTTCTACACATTCACCTAGACTCAATCAGATAGCAGGGATGATTATTGTTCATGCGTATCGTACTGAAAACAACAATGAGGCGCAAATTAGTATGTCAAAATATGGCTTGTATTCACTATTAAACGGAATGACCATCTAGTATGGTGTATTCTCGAACGAGGCCACAGATTATTCTGTCGTTCTAGTCAATACGTACATTTTGTTGTTGATATTCGGAAAGAAGCATTAATGTTGAATAATAATAAACTGATTTTGTCGAAGTAGAGTCGTTAAAATCATTAATAGTACGATTCACTTGATTGGCTAATAATGTTTGTTCTTTTTATGGGTTTTCACTAATAACTTACAAGATAGTAATCTCTGAAATCCGGTATCTGAATTACGCCCCTTTTTGAGATATAGATATAGTTCGTCAAATGTGTCGGACTCCATTTCATGAACGTGTTCGTCATCTTGTGGCCATAACTTCTCAAAATCAGAGTCTCCCATAAACGATTATGAGACGTCTTTTTAGTATTTTAAAATATCGAAGTGTTGAAAGATTACATTTTAAATATCACGATAGTCAAAAACAAGTTTTCGTAAAAACGTCTTCGTAATTGACAGCGGATAAAGATAAATGTATTGTCGAATGTACATCTTTTCGACCATCTTGTATTATTATGAGGCTATTACGAGGATACCTCAAAGTATGCACAAAGACAGTACAGCGTAATCATTTCATTTTTGGAATTCGCATTTCCTAATATGGTAGGATGAAAATACCCCGTAAAATACCGCAAAAATACGGCACGCTGTAACTTATGGCGTTACGGTGACAGATGTATAATGATACATATTAAATGTACTAGGACTGTTAATCTATAATTGTTCAAATGTATATTTGTTTTTTTCGTTCTCCCCATACATTTTGTATTAACTTTCTTCATTCGTATTTATGTAACAGTAACTGTAATCTCTATTCAAGTTACAGGATATGGGAATGTCGTGCCTGTTAGTTATGCTGGAAAGATTACATGTGTGG